TTGGGTAAACAGACATTCTTATTTCTAATGTAGAGAAATTTATTAATATTTTATTTTATGGCTAAGATTTTGTATGTGAAGTTTAGCAAATCCTTTCTTCTCTCAATAGTCATGTAGTTATTATTTTATATTATCTTCTACTTTTTTGCCTTTTATATTTAGAGATTTAATATACTTGGGATTAAATTTTTAATAAGGTGTGAGGTAAGGTCTATTTCATTTTTCAGTTTGTTTTTATTCCATTTGGCTACCTAATTGTTTTAATACCATTGATTAAAAAGCCCATGTTTCACCCACTGAACCTAGAGTGCAACCTATGTCCTATTCCAGCCATCTATAGATGTGTGAATTTATTTCTAGGCTTTCCATTTTATTCCATTGATGAATTTGAATATGCTAATACTCATATCACATCATCTTAATTACCATGCCTCTATCATAATTATGATAGGTCAAGTTTACTCACTTCATTGTTCTGCAGCAGTAACTTGGCTGTTTTTGACCCTTTGAAGAAGGGTCTGAAATTTTATCCTACTTGAAAGCTATCGTTTCATGGATGATGACAGAAGACATGAGACTTCTGGATCAGAGACAAAGGACTTTATTACTCGTTTCACAGCAAGCAGTATGAGCATGAGCATGTTTGTGTCAGTGCTCCTTGCCTATGAGTCTCATAGAAGTGAAGATGTAGACCCAGATTGATGCTTGCACACACAGTGGATTGCATTACTGAGAGAAACCCTGAGCTTTGGGAACGCGAATCTTTTATAATAGACAGCATGCTTGCTCTTTCCTCTAAAGGAAGACACTATCTCTATCTTCCAAAGCTATTTGCCATACAAAAAATCTTTGCAAAAATTAGTTAAGAGCAAAGGGCAGTCAGTGCTTCTACTCACAAGATGTGTAGAAGCACCAACAACTCATGGAGAACTGTCTCCCAACTGGCCCCTGATCTTCCATGTATATTCTAAATTTAGTTTGTTATGTACTACACACACACACACACACACACGCACACACACACAATACATTGAAAATTTGTTTTCAATTTGCCTTGAATCTATAGATTGGAGAAGAGTTGACATTTTGTAATATTAAATCTTCTAATTTAAGGCTATGGTATATCTCTGCATTTATTTAGTTTACCTTAACATCTCAATAAAGTTTCCATAAGAGTCTAGCACTTCTTTTGCTAGTTATTACTTAGAAAAATGATATCTTATCTCTCCTCAAATTCCTGCAATGTCTCCCTATTTTACTCAGAGTAACACCCAAAGGGGCTCTTCATGATTTAGTTTTCCATTACCCCTCTGCCCTCATCTCCTATTACTCTCTGCTTTGCTCATTCTGCTTCAGCCACATTGACCTCCTTGCTGTACTTTTAATGTGTCAGACATGCTTCTCTCTTAGGCCTTAACACTAGCTGTTTCCTCTGCTCATAATGCTTTTCCCTCAGAAATATTGGCATGGCTAACAACTTCATCTCCTTCAGTCTTTGTTCAAATGTCACCTTCTCGATGTGTATTCCAATATTCTATTAAAAATTGCAAACTGCCTGTTACCTGCTGACACTCTTGATTCCTCTTACTCTGCTCAGTACTTTTTTCTTAGAATGCTAAGAAAACATACTATGCAACTATGTTGTAGCATAAATTACTATCCTACCAAATATCCTACTATTAATTAATTATATTTATCATTATTTCTGTCTCTTCTAACTAAAATGTTAGCTAAAAGAGACAGGGTCTTTGCATTTTTATATGCTGATGGATTTCTATAGTGGAATAGTGCTATGGATATAGCACTATTAAGGTGCTTAAGAAATATTATTAAATAATTTTTCCTAGGTATGTCATATCTTTTGCAATTATAAGTGTGTCTACAAAAAAATTAAAGTTTCTATGTTTGCTGCTGATGCATAAAAATACAATTCATATTTGATTGTCATTTTAGTACTTAGAAATCTCTAAATTCTCTGACTCCTATAACTTATATAGGTTTGTTTGAGTTTTTACACAGAAAATCATGTCATCTGGGCGGAATGATGGCTTTTTTCTTCTTTCTTTCTAATCTTTATGCCTTTTTGTTTATTTTCTTGCTTTAAAAACTTTCAGTAAAATATTTCTAGAAATTGTGATGGCAGGCATCTTGTTTTTTTTTTTTTAAATAGGAATGCTTTCGTTGCTTTATACGATACAGTAGATTTTTGGAGGGGATGATCCAAACAAATGTTTAACTACTGAATTAAACATTCAGTAGTTTAATGAAGTTTCTTCTGATTCCTAGTTTTCTAAGAATTACTTCTTTTAATAATGAATGTTCAAATTTACTATGTATTTTTTGTTGCTATTGAGATACATCATAAAATATTTGTCTTTTAATGCAGCAAATTACATTATTTCCTATGATCAAAACAACTTGGATTGCTATGACACATCCAACTTAATCATGCTATATTATCTTTTGTGTACATTGCCCAATTGATTTGTAATTATCTCGTTAAGAAATTTTGCATCTATATTTATGACAGAGATCACTCTTTAATTTCACTTTTTCATACAATCCGTGTCAGGTTTTGAAATCAAGTTAATAATATTCTTACGAAATGAGTTGGAAGTACTCCTGGTTTTGTTTTCCCCCTATACACTTGAATAGTTTGTATACGCTTAAAGTAATTTGTATCTTCAATATTTGTTAGATTGCCTGTAAAAACCATCTTGGTCTGGAATTTTCTCTTGTGAAGTTTATAAACTGTTGACCCCATTCCTTTACTACTATTGTACATTTGTTTTCAATTTTATTAATTTCTGAATTGTCAATATTATTTCTTTCCTCACATGTATTTTGTATACGTTATGCTTATCCCTCATTTGTAAAACTGAAGGCCTAACTCAATGCTCAGCCATTCTTCTATAAAATGAAGATTTAAGGCTACCAGTTTTTGACTACACATTGCTATAGCTGCTACTCATAAGGTTTTATATGCAGTGTTTTCATTATTGCACAGTTCTAAATGTGTTTTACTTTTATTCATGAATTTTTGTTAGTGTTTGTGTTATTTAGAATTAGTATACCTGATTTCAAAACAAATGGGTAATTTGGTTTTATTTAGAGAAAAATGTTTATTTTATCCAAATTAAAATTAGGTCAGAAAAATTTCTTCTCTTATGATGCCAATATTTGAGCTTTTTGAGATTTTATTTATGTCTCAGCAAGTGACCAATACTTATAAATGTTTCTTTTTCTTTTTTTCTTTTTTTTTTTTTTTTGAGACGGAGTCTCATTCTGTCGCCCAGGCTGGAGTACAGGGGGGTGATCCTCCGCCTCCCGGGTTCACGCCATTCTCCTGCCTCAACCTCCTGAGTCGCTGGGACTACAGGTGCCTGCCACCACGCCTAGCTAATTTTTTTTTTTTTTTTTTTTTATGTATTTTTAGTTGACACAGGGTTTCACTGTGTTAGCCAGGATGGTCTTGATCTCCTGACCTCGTGATTCTCCCGCCTCGGCCTCCCAAAGTGCTGGGATTACAGGCGTGAGCTACTGTGCCCGGCCGTAAATGTTTCATACATGCTTAAGAGGATATATATTCTGCAGTGTTCTACATATGTTCATTAACATAAGCTTGTTAATTGTGTTAAACATTTTTTATATCTGTAACTGCTTCATTTATAGCTTATTGAAAGATGTATGTTAAAATCTTCAACTAGGATAATGAAATTGTTAAAGTCTCCTCAATTCTTATAATTTTTCTATTATGTATTTTGATAGGTATATATAATCTAGAATTTTTGTATATTCCTAGTGAATTTAATTTTTTATCCTGAAATAGGGGCTAGACAATTCTTCTAAGAAACATGGGATTTACCAGTTCCCAAAAGTCAGGTACATGACATTGTATCCAGTTTATGAGTCACAGTTGTATTTCTTTCTCACTCACAGTAGGGAATTATCTAAGACCATGACCTTTGATGGAGTTTTGATAAATTTTTACCTCTCATGGCTTCAGAATATTTTGGAAGTTCTACTAACCTCATAGTACACTTCATGTGAACAGTAACGAAATAGCATCAGTATGAGGAAAAATATAGCAGTTTCATCCCAATAAAAACTGGTAAATATTAGCATTTTTACAAATGGTGAGAATCAGTGTCTTTAGTTTTATTTGTTAGGATTATTTGTGGCTATTTCCCTGAAGACATGGGACTGGATTAGATATTCCCCTATGGCACTGGGGATTTGAAAAAGATGTATGGGAGCAACTTTTAAAAAGTAACAGTTTTATATTGTAATACACAATATTTAGAGTCTCTATTTTCTCTGACACCTTTCACTCTCCTGGCCATCAGTGAATGGAAGTTGTGAACTTTGAGCCAAACAGGATCAAGGAAAGTGGAATTGGGATTCAACTTGAGTTATTACCTCTTGAACTGGAAAGACATGTAAACATGGGAGATGAGGCTGAAAATTGGGTTCAGCCATTCTCTGCCATGAGCAAAACAAGCCATCTACAACATACGAAAAAGAGGGAAGTAAAATTTAGAGAAGATGAGAGAAGAGGTAACACATGGCTTCAGGGAGAGAAGCAGACTTGGGTCTTGGTGTCAGCAGAGTTCCTGGTTGTATGTAGTCTTTCTGATAACCAGCTGCTTTTTTTGCTCTCAGATTTTTTGAGATATTCTTGTATCTTTGCAACAAACCACCCTTTCTGGCTTATGCGACTCTGAGTGAATTTCTGTCCTTGCTGATCTGAAACGTTACTGTGCACAACAACTATAGAGCAGCCTTCAGAGCAGTCGGAGAGTCTTGGAACCATTCCCGGGGTTGTGGTTAGTGGTGTCTGAAGCACCTGAAGGGGTTCTTTACAGGAGATAGGTCTTGAATATAGGCTAACAGTTGAGTCTAATGCACTTCAACAACTTGCCACCACCACATGGCACTTTTGATCCTGTGCATTCCAAGTCATAAGAAATCGTAAGAAATGTGAGTATACACAGAATTCAGGGCTAAATGATTTTATTGAAACTTAAAGAAACTAAACATAACTAGTAGAGAAAAAATTCAGAATGACAAGGTAAAAACCACTAGAGCCCATATTTTTTTCTGCACAGCATATTCAGATGACTAAATCCATAGTGGCTTTAAAAAGCTGTTTAGTACGCCACCTTTTCTCCACAGAAGGAAATGTTCACAATCCATAGTATCTTGGTTGTGAAGCACTTTTCTGAGTAAAAAAGCAGGCTTGCCCCTAATAAAGAGAAAAGAAGAAGCTTATATTAATGTTTATTCAAGGACTCTTTTCTTGCAGGGGATTGGGGGAGTAGGGGTTTCCAAACTAGCTATGCATTAATGTCAAGGTTTATCTATCTGTTGTAACGAAATCAATCAATTCAGAGATCTGGAAAACTGCTGTTAAGTTATGTCCCTAGGTAGACACTTTGTTTTTGTGCAGCTATTCTTTGAATGTCCAGAAATTCAGTGATTATCCGAGTTATAGAAAGTTAATAGATTCTATTAGCATTCTCTTTTCATTTAGCCATTCATGCATTCTTTTGAATATGACTTGAGTCTACTCTTGATTCACACTGAAAGGCAGTGTTCCGTATTCAAGAGCACAGAATCCAGAGCCAAAATGCTTGGAATTGACCCAGGCAAGGATTTTGTGACCTCTCTGTACCTCAATTTCTTTATCCATAAAGTAGGATTAAAATAGAACCTGTAAGATTGCTGTGAAGAACCAATTGAATTAATGCACTTAAAGCACGTAGAACAGCAGCTGGCACAGAGCAAGCACTGAACAAATGTTGGCCTTGATGACCATCCCTGCATCACTGGTGCCCACTATGAAAACGCGTGAGGATAGTCTGACAATCCCACCAGCACTAACTTGGGGTGCACAGTAGGGGTGCTACTCACCTTGCATCTCCTCAGCCATGTATGTTGGAATCCCACGACACATGTTTGCAATGTTTTCTCCTAACTTGCTCAGGTCATCGACTTTGTTCGGGTTGACTGAGTACATCAGGCCCTTGGGAGGTGGTCCTCCTGGTCCCTTACCCTGAAGCTGAGTGTGGAAAAGACAGGTAGAAGGGAAGAATGGGAGAGAATGAATGCCAAGCCCAGTGGTTTGTTGACTTGAGGGGTATTCAAGGCCAACAGTGAGTATTGCTCAGCTAAATTTTTCCATAATCAAGATGAAGAAGGCCATTTCTAGCTTCTTCTGTGTATCTTAACATTTGTAAGTGTCCTAACGGATTTAGCTGGTTTGAAACCTCAGCTTCTCATAAAAACAGAAGTCTGAGGCTAAATTTATTCTGAAACTTGGACCTCATTTGATCATCATAGATTCCTTGGATTGGACTATGTAATAATCATCTTCTGAGAATGCAGTTTATTTATTTTCTCTACCTTGTCAACGAAAGGTACGCATTTATCAGTTATAGGAATATGAACTCAGGCAAACATGTCAAAGCATTATGGATCTCTTCCTTCCACTCACCTGGATTAGTATGGCCAGACAAAATATACAATACCCAGTTACAGTTGAATTTCAGATAAACAATGGATCTTTTTTATTATATCCCAAATATTGCATAGGATATATTATACTAAAAAGACCTGCTGCTTACCTAAAATTCAAACCTAACTGGATATCTTCTATTTTCATTTGCTAAATCTGATAACCCTAACCAACTCTTGCAGAAAAATGTCCTTCACAAAGTACTGAGGGCTCCTATTGGTGTGACCAGAGCTTTGCTCCTCTAACAGTCAAGGTTTCAAGTGCTTTGCTCAGCGGTTGTAGAGGTGTGAGTCACAGCATTTGATGTGGCAGAAGCTGCCTTCCCTCAGGCAATCACCAATAACTTCCCCTTTGTGCTGCACACAACAACATACTGTAGTCAGTAGGGAATGACTGTGATCTTCTCGTTATTTACTGAAGGTTGTAAAACATCTCCCCTCACCAAAAATAAAAAGCCTTTTAGTTTTACCTTCTTTTCCTTGACCAGTGCATCAAGGGATTGAATGGAGGGCAAGACCTCCTTGTTCATTTTGTGCACAATGCATATCTTCTTTTGAAAGAGTCTGGTTGCAGCAAAGCCCTGTTAAAGTAGATGGCAAATAGTGAGGCATGTATTCTCCGAGGAGCTTTTCTTATCAGAAGTCAGTTCCACCAGCAGAGAGAAATGGAACTCCAAGATCATGATGAGCTGGGATAAGAGCACTGGATGTGGCACTGCTTGGCAATCATATTTATTGCTGACATTTGTGAGGACAGACTACAATTCTGTGAGGGCAGAAACTGAGCATCTAACTGGTTTGCTTTATTTTCAGGTTCTAGCATGATGAAAACCCCTCTATATACGTCTGTTTTACTGAAATAGACTTTAAAAGCTATCATGTTTTAGTCTCCTTTGATCCTCACATTTCACGGAGACAGGTAAGACAAAAATTATTTTTCCAATTGACCAGATAAAATGGAAACAATGAAGACTTTGTTATTTAAAAGTATAAAGTTTGTTAAATATATAGCTGATAATTGCAGAGTTGAGTCTCCTAACTAGTGTTAAGTGTTCCTTTCTTTGCTCCTCTCTTTCTTTGATTCTCTTTTTCTTTCCTTCTCTCTTCCTTCCTTTCTTTCTTTCTTTCTTTCTTTCTTTCTTTCTTTCTTTCTTTCTTTCTTTCTTTCTTCTTCTGTTTCTCCGCCTTTCCTTCCTTCCTTCCCTCTCCCCTCCCTCCTCTCCTTCCCTTCCTTTTCTCTTTCTTTCTTTCTTCCTTCCTTCCTTCCTTCCTTCTTCCTTCCTTCTTCCTCCTTCCTTCCTCTTCCTCTTCTTTCTTTCTTTCTTTCTTTCTTTCTTTCTTTCTTTCTTTCTTTCTTTCTTTCTCTTTTCTTTCTTCTTTCTTTCTTTCTCTTTCCTCACTTACCAATTAATATTGTCATTTGCATTTCCTGAGTTTTAGGTGAAATGTCAATTTCAATCTCTTTAGAAGGGGATCATAAAACCTACTTTGAAAACAAAGTGAGATAGGCTAAGTTTTAGAAGCAGTAATGTTGTGTAACATTATTTAGGATATCTGCAGGCAAGGCAAAAGGATGTTCATATTTGTTGTATATACATGCAATCCCTTGAACATAATGTTTATTGGTTTAAATTTTAACTGATCATGCAATAATTCTTAACAGTAGTTATCTCTAGGGAACAAAATTGGATGGGCAAAATGGGCATCTTTACTTATAACTGTATGGTTATGTGTAATTAGAATTTATTTTTAATTTCTTTATGGCTAGCATGCACATTTTTTGTTAAAAAGAAATCCTATTTTTAAACAATAAAGTGAAAATTGCATGTTGGCTACGTACAGTTCCATAATCCCAGATGGAATTCCAGGAGTTCCCTCCATTGTTATTGTCAACATTAGCCACGTTGTGTTCATTGTTGACACTCACTGACTGCTGCCCACTTCCAGCATTGTTGTTGTCATCATTGACGTTGATATTCTGAAGTTTACAAGGGATTGAGAGTGATTTAGTACCACATTTATTTGCAAATGCATTTTGGTAGCAAACTTGAAAAGGTGAGACTTACATAGTCAGCAAGGGCAGGAGCTAGAAAGACTCCAAGAAGTCCAGCAAAGACAATCTGAAATGGCAAATAACAATGATCTGCTGTTACATGGCAAAATTATATCTTCTTTCTTTCTCTATCCAAGCTTATAAAAAATATTCACTTATTTTACCAATGTGTTCAGTTCTAGTTTGATGTGTTTTGTTCTTCTCTTACCTTGCATTTTTTAACCATAAAAGTTTTAATGATAATGTGAAATTGCTGATTAATTGTAAGTAGTTATATTAATGTGATATATAGTTTTAGAATTTTTAGCATAGGTCCTGTGAAAAACTGGAAAAATTGATGAAGAAGGGAAGTTGAGAGTCAGGAAAGCTGCTTTCATCTCATTGCCATCCAGTGCTGAGGAAGAAAATGTAATTTTCAAGTAGTGATCAATAAAATTATTGAATCAAATCCCTTTTTAAGTAAAACTCGAAATGTACCATCTTGTTTCCCTTCAGTTTAATAAGTGGCATCATAAAGGTGACTTTGCTAAGATAATACTTCTGGAAATGTCAGAATAGAGTTTAAAAATTTTTAAGATTGGTAAAAATATTAACTTTATAATGAAACATATACTTAGCAAATGAATTTCCTATAAATTATCATTGGTCAGAATGCTGTTTTGTTGAAATACATTAAGTAATATAAACCATAGGTGTTATTAGAAAGTAGAGAACTGCCTTTCTTATCTAGGGCTTTCAAGGACTTGCTATAAATGATTATTTTTAAAATGCTTTATAAGTCTTCATGATTTTTCTATTTCGGATAAACTCAGCTATAGTTAATGCCAGAGCATCCTACCTTGAATAGATATTTGGATTATTTAAATCTAGTAAAAGAAGAAAGTTATACTTCTTGTGAGTATTAAGAGGTGGGAGTAAAGATTCACTTTTAAGTTATTGAAAATATGTGCATTCTCCTAAATATTAACAAAAATGATTTGGGGTAACTGACAGGGCTTGGTTATTCAGCTTAAATTTGTACTGTGGCTTATGTTACACAGGTTGTTGATGTTTACCTCTCACTGACTTGTTTCTAATTGTTTTATAAGGTTTAAAATTCTCTCTTTAGTGAAAATCAGAAAATTCACCTGGCTCATATTTTGACCTCCTAGGAAACATGTTTGTATCAGTATTGAATTTTGGTCAGTGCCCCAATATAAGAAAGTTACTGTTTTAAAATAAAGCAAACTGTCTTATTTTCTTTGGAAAAAAAAAAGAATAAGTTTTACAATAAATAGCATAGTATAAATGAATACTATGGTTTGAAATGGCTATAAGTTCTAAAAATCACATCTGAAAATGATTTCAGTTAATTTTCCTATTTAACATGGGATGTTTTCTTCCTAATAGAAATAATCTTTTTATTAAAAAAAGACTTTCCACAGCAATGGATTAGTAGGCAGGTTGGATGCCGATGATGAGAAAGCAAGGATAGAGTGTCTGGCTGGCAAGAGTGATCAGCAGGGGCGATGCCACTAGCAGTGTCCCAGGAGACCTGGTTTAATTATTTGTTACAGGGTCCCTGATACTGGTTGTCAGAGCACAGAGCTTTTATGCAGGGTGCCTCCTTCTGGGTACCTAGTCTCATTTCCTCTGCCTGGGACAAAATAGTTTTGAGACCTGCTCTAGAGAGTCAAGGTAATTTAAAAAAAAAAATTAAAATTTTCTCCCAATAGCTTAAAAAGGAGTTAAAAATTAGTCTCCTAAAAAGTCAGAGGCAGAAGAAATTTTAGAGAACAACTAGTACAATGCAGTCATTTTACAGATAAGGTAACTGAGCTTCAGGGGTTGAATTGGCCAAACTTATACCTCTTGTTCACAGCAGAACTAGGAGAGAAATCAGATCTAACCTGTGTCTGGATCTCCCTCTGACCCTTTTAAACTTTGCTGCTATTAAGAGGACCTAGCTCTAGATAATCATTTTACATTTGCAGCCCCATTATAAAGTAGAGTCTGCCGTAACGTTTTCCAGTGCGTAGTATGTTGAAACATGAAAACAGTCATCTGATTCTAGCCCCTTTGCATCCTGTTGTGAGAAACCCAGCACTACTAGTTACTTTGGCTGGATTTCTCGGTCCACCTCCTCCTAGACCCTCAGACTTCTGCCTGGAACCACAGGAGAGATGCTGTGGTAGCTTCATGTTTCAGATGCTTTCTTGAATAAATGGCCATGCTAGAGAACAAGGCAAATCTTTCTTTCTTGCAGACCCATTTTACTGTAACAAATGTGACAAGAAGTCTATCTCACCCACTTATTTTGATAATACGCTTTTCATCTTGCCTGAACATGCTTAAGGATTTTGGTAAAAGGAGAAATTCAAGAATGAGGGATGATCAGGGACTTTCTAGGGCTTAGGGACTGCTTACCCTGCATGGAGACCAGAATCAGGTGATGTGGAAAGTCATTTTGTTAAAAATAAGTCAGTGTAAGGTGCTCAGACAGCTGTCTAATATCAGCACAATTATCCTTCTCTATAGAGATGCTCATAAATGCCATGATTACATAAATAGAAAAAAGATTTTTTTCATTATTTCTTCTTCTTTTAAAAAAAGGGATATATGTGTAGAACGTGCAGGTTTGTTACATAGGTATATGTGTGCCATGGTGGTTTGCTGCCCCTATTGATCCATCCTCTAAGTTCCCTCCCTTCACTCTCCACCCCACAACAGGACCTGGTGTGTGTTGTTCCCTTCTCTGTGTCCATGTGTTTGAAAGAGAATTTTTTTAAAACAAATTTTCCATGATGATGCCATAAGAAGCAGGCCTCCTAAATCTCAGAATATTGACAGTCCCCAACTATATGGTGGTAAATTCAAAAGGAAAAATCTACTCACTGTGAACTTCATCTTGTCTTCACGAAAGCAGTGGACAGAGGAGCAGGCAAGCATGGACCTGAGTGAGAAGACTTCTCATATTTGTACTCAACCAGGTTGACTCAAACTAGGTGTTACCAGGTGGGGTCAAAGACTTATCATCCTCAATTTCTCCTATCTGTGCCATGACCCAGTGTACCAGGAAACCTTTCAGAATATCTGTATGCTTAGCAAGGAACTTTCACGTGGAGTTGACCTGACTCATCACTTGTTGAAGCTGAAGGTATCACAACAAACTCAATATAATTTATGATAACTTCTCACCCAACTGAAGCTGTGGGTGTGAGTATTTTACACGTTAACATTGCTCAGATTCAGAAAAAGAATAGTCCCTAAAATCAAACAAAATCACAGTCGAAAAGCTGTGGGTATACTAGGCCTTCCAGATAGCAGCTCCTATAGGAATATAGGAATGATTTCCTCTTCTTAACTTTTATCTGAGCCCATGGCTATGGTTTTGCTTAGGCTAAACATGTTCTGTGAGCAACTCCCACCAAACCTATCCCTTTTCTGCAATGTTGAGCTCACTTAATGATAGCACCATGTATCTGGTACAGCCCTTTTTCTCAGCCTGACATCCAGTTAGTTACTGTCATTTTGTCTCTGAAATGCCTCTCAACTCTGACCGTGCCCACAGCTCCCCTCACCTGGACTTTCACAACAGTCATGCAATTGATCACCCTGGTCATCAGTTTCTTATATTCCAATGCATTTTCTTCATTAACCCTGAGGTTGTCTTTCTGAAGTGCATAGATAGACATGACTCTATCATGCTTGGAAATTTCACTGGCAGCCTACAGAAAGTTCATAGTCATTGGAATGGCATCCAGGGTCCTTTGTAATAAGATTTCCAAAGGCTTCCCGTCTGCCACTTTATGCTATGTACCTATATTCTAGCTTCACCAGCACTCCCACCATTCCCGGAAAAGTCAAGATGTGTATGCCTCCATGCCTTTGTACGTGTTGTTGTTTTATCGTGGAGGGCCACCCCCTAGCCTCTCTCGGTAGACTCCTGTTCATTGTTCAAGGCTCAGCTCAAATATCACTGTCTCCATCACATCTCCCCCACCTGCTAGATAGAACTTACCTAGTGTTTGTTTTTTTCTTCTGGGAACTATAAAAGAAATATCTTTTTATTTGTTTCTAGATAATTTAGTTTTCAGAAGTTACATTAAAATAATAAAAAATATTTTCATCAAAAGCAGAGAGTAGAAACCGTCAACTGGGCAGACAAGTAAAAGCTCAAAACAGTTTTGGAGGTGAGTTGGTTTTAATTTTTTTCCTGCTTCTTCCTATATAGTGAAGCTAGTAAATTAAATTTACCAAAGAGGAAAACTGTATTTCATTAACTACCAATCTATAAATTTTCCCTTTGGAAACTTCGTGCCCACAATTTTCCTGCTGTGCATGGATTGAAACCAAAAGATGGAATCACATGGTTATAAAGCTTGAATTGCTATCAACATCTCTTCAAAAATGTTGGTAGGAATGGATTAGAACAGCTGCAGTGAAATATTACTGATATTTTTAAATGTGTCCACTGATTTCTTTTAAACTCCCCCTTTATCCACATAAGGTAATAAGCCCGGGGTAAGGGGCAGACATGTGTGAAGAGGTCTTCATCTGCTTTAGGAAACTTCATGTCACTGAGAAGTCAATGAGTAGGCAGCATGGTCTGTACGTTTAAACTCAGCCACTGGTAGTCATCTTGGTACACAGGTGCAGTGCCCAGCACACATTTTGCATGTCATACCAAGGACAAGGGCCTGAAGTTCTGCAGTGGACTTGTGAAATGCTGGCCTGGAAGATGTTCCATGGCAGAGAGACAGACAGATGGATAGATAGATAGATACATAGATACATACATATATACATATATACACATACATAGATACATACACATACGTAGATACATAGGTAGAGTTCAGGGTCCAATAATGCCCCCCTCAGAGACTGACAATTCACGTTCACACATCAAATGGGCTAAGAAATTTATAGGGGAAAAAAATCTATGTTTCATCCAGATTCTTCTCATCTTAGTTGTCTACAGAACCTGATTGCTTTCCCTTTTTCTTTTATTTATTTGGCCTAACATGTAATAACAACTCTGGGGCCCCCTGCCTTAGTGAAATAATTGTGCTACCTCTGAGGATGCAGCCTGGATTTGAAAATCCATTTGGGGAGCTACAGGATGAAGCTAGGAGCCAGGAGACCTAGACTCTATTTTCCCATCTTTCAGTGAGTCATTTATTTTTTTCCTTTAGACCTTAGGTTTCCTGTGGGTAAAAGAGAAGAAATTCCTCCTTTATACAATATTGTTACTTCAATGTCTCTACAACCAGAAGAACTTCTTTTTTTGTACTTCGTGTGGTGTGGGAGGTTGGGGGAGAGGGAGTGTGGGAGTCGAGGTGGGGGTCAACCCTCACCTCAATCCTGGTCTCATCCAAGGTCGAAAGTCCTAATGATGCATGAGCAAGACTTTTGCCCTGAGAACTGTGTTTTGTGTTTCATTCTTCCCATGAAGAAGAATGTCTTCCCAGGAAGACAGAACATACCAATGGTTGTGGTCACCTCCATAGAATCTAAAATATGCAGACAAATATATGGTGCTCAGTAGGCTTCTTATAAAAATTTGACTTGCGTAAAGGAGATGTTAAGCTACAGGATAAAAAGTGTGTTATATTTAGTCATTTCTGGTTTTGGTGCCAGCCTGAGAAGGGCTGCCCTACACTGGCTGTGGTGACACATTGAGGGAGTCCCTCTGTGGCTTGGGGTTAGTGTGGAACAAACCAGCCCATGGGTAAATAGAGCCTGCCCTGCCTACAGAGATTGACACTGGGCCATGCCAAGAAACAAGCCCCTATCGTCATTTTATCTCACAATGCACACACACCCAAGGCTTCATTCCACTCCACACCCTGTTGTGTTGTGCTCAGTGGAAACTCCCTCCGTGTGGAGCAGATGGGATACATCCCATGTGCAATATGCTCCTGTGTGCAACTGGAGGGAGGCTTGCAAAGGACTAAACTGCTCATTAAAAGATGTCAATCAGATCCCAAATGGTTGGAACCAAAGTGCTTTCCCACAGAAATCAGACTTTTCACATTCCTTCTTGTTCTCTGAGTGGAAGGGAATGTTTGCCTGTACGGCACATTTTAATCATTAAAGATTCTTATTCAAGATTCCGTCTCTGTACAGACCTGTTAATGGGCTGTCCTAGTGGTCATTAATACCTATGAAGCCTTTAGTAACCTTGGCTTCCTTTTCATTCTTGCTCCATTTTCTGATAGTTAGGACTCAACTGGCCTTAGTCCATTTGCCTGCAAATGATAATTTATTTGTTTAAGTGTGGAAGTGCCTTCATGCAGAGACTCTATTTCAGTCTCCTTGCCTTTACTCTTGTCTTTCTGAGCAAACTGCACACCAGTCTGATGGTCCTTTTGATGGTCCCAAGTCAAGTGGTTCATTATGAGGTCTGAATACACTTCACTGTGGAGAAATTTCTGCCCCTCCCTGGTCTTGATTTCCCAGCCTGTAGCTAAGACTCTTATGATGGTTCCGGTGACTACAGCCTTGGTGCTTGCAGTAGTGACACACCCTTAGTAAAGGCTCCATATGTACTTATGGCTAGGAATGACACATCTGAAAAATAGCGATAGAAACATGTAAAATAACATTTTAATAGTTATTGCTAGAGAAACTTCAAGTTCCAGAAAATCCAAACTTAATACATAATTATTTTTGTATAGGGGAGAAATTCTTTTCGAATTACAGCAGAGTGGAGGGAGCACTTTGCATTACTGAACAGATATTTTTGTTGTTTCCTCTGGGACCATTGCCTTCCAAAATACATATAACTCTGGCTTTCTGGGGCTGCTTGTATGTCTGTTCAATTGCATTTGCCAAACCTTCTGGATCCCCTCAGAGGCAGGCAGTGATATATTATGCCTAAGATTAGTTGTTACCTTGAGTGATAGAGTGATATAAATGGGGTTTGGAAAAATCTTGCTAAAAGAAGATCTCTTGAGTAATTGCATCATGTGTATAAAATATATGAAAGTAGAAGTAAAGACCATATTGACCAATAACTTCATTTTTATCATCGTGAAGGACAATCAAGCCTGGTTAAACACTTCTGTTCTGAAAAAGATTTAAAGAAAATATGCCCATATAAGGAATAGAAATCACAAAGTGATCGCAACATGTTGCTTTATAATTACCTCCTGGCTAATCCAGAAATTAATAACACTACACTTTGTTCAGTGTTCATATGGAAGCGGTTTAGAAATAATGGTGTGAAAGCACTCATACTGGTGGTGTGTTCATTAAATAACAGCAGTGAGGCTGGGAAATGACTAAACTGCTCATTAAAAGATGAGAATAAGATCCCAAATGGTTGGAACCAAAGTGCTAGTGCTGGCAGAGCAGTGCCTAGTGCCAGGGACTTGCGAGGACCGTGGGCCGCCACACCGCGGCTTCCTTGGCAGAAGAGGCCAAAGTAAAGGCCTTGCCCTAAGGCCAGTGAACAATGAAGCACAGTTTTGTGAATCCTCGAGCTTTCTGTAGGCTGACCGGTCAGAGCTGGTTTCCTTTTCTACGTCTTACATAGAACATAATACACACATATGCAATCTTTTCACTTCTGAAAGAACACATCTTCAGATGGTGACATTGGATCCTCAGGGGTGCCTCAGGGAATTTTGAGTTTCCATGTTTATTCAATTATGCTCTCTCCCTACCTACATTCTTAGTCTGTAATTCCTGGAAATGCTTAATAAAATGCATCCATCAGGATTCATTCTGGAGTGTGCTTTTCCTTCAGAGGTCCCACTGGATTTCAATAAAAACCTCTCTTTCCAGGCCAGGAAAGTTCTATCATTTGCTTGCTCAGAAATGGGTCACTGGGCCTAATATCCCCCACTCATTTTCTCATATTGAAAAATAGCCCATTAATAGCAATAGGCATGCTGCAGCTAATGCCATGCCCCAATTAAGCACAAGTGCTACAGAAGATTTAAAGATGTAAAACAAACTATGTTCACACTCCAAGATCCTGAAATCTATATGAGAGGTAGGACTGGCTTTGTAGATGTGTGACTAGTGCAGTTGCAGAGGGCCCACACTTGGAAGAGAGCCCCACACTTGGGTTTAGTGCTTTACAGTTGACACCTTGAAAATCCTAATACTCTTAAATTTGAATTTGTGTTTTCTAAGTGGAGTGA